CATTGACTCCTGGGACATGGTCTTAACTCAGCCACAGTGCGGCAGGCTGGCAGGCGCCTCACACTGTTAGGGACCATGACTGTAGAAAGCAGCCATGTGGGCGGCAGGGCAATCACTTCACTGTGATCCAAGCTTCTCGCCACACACTCAGCCCCCATTCAGAGCCTACCATGTGGGCTGACTGCAAGAGTGTCTGTGTCTGATATAACTTAGATGCTGAGTGATCCCTAAAAGTCCACAGTATTGGGAGGGACTATGGGGCACTGAGAAGTAGTCCTGAGGTGACTGGCCGGGTCTTGTGGGGGGAAATGTGATACTGGGTCTCTTTCCACCCTCTGGTTCCAACTGTCAGAACATTGCTTCTATCACGACAATGGTCATTGGCATTGACCCTTACTAGTGGTAATAAATGGGGCTGCCTGGTCTGAGACCTGGAGCCTTCTAAACTGTGAGCTGAACAGACCATCTGTCCTGCTAAGTCACCGTCTCAGGCTAGTTTTAGTGAAGGTGCAGCATGGCCCTCCATTCTGGTGCCCGGTGTGCTGAAGGCTCCACCTGTTTCTGCCTGCCTTCTGGCCTCTGTTCTCAGGACGTCCCTGACATCCCATCGGACGCAAACCTTTCCCATGGGACATCCTGGGTTGTAAGTCTATTGCAGTGGCAGTCTTGTTGGCCCAAGGGACATTTAGCTGTATTTTGTCATGATCTGTCTGGTGGGAACGCCTAGTATCCAGGGGTAAGGAAGATGCTAAATATCTCCTAATTCATGCACAGGACAGTCTGGTAGAAAGAATTAAGCCTAAGTTGCTGTCAGTTATACTGAACTGGACTATCTCATGCTATCAGAAAATAGGAACACATGCCCAAATGGGTCAGATTAAATATGCTAAGTGACAGGGGAAGTAAGGCTAGACCTATTCCAAAGTGCAGAGGTGAGCAGACATAGGCACTCTAGAAGGAAGCGAAGACACAGTGGCTTATACTACTGTCTACCTGCACCTGTAGTCAGCTAACTCACGGCGCAGAGACACATGTAACTCTTCTGAGAGTTCTAGTAGTTTTCCTTTTCCTCCTGGATCCAGCCATGCCTGAAGCCTTGCACTATCTGGCCAGAACTAGGTCCTTTCCTCTTGCACATGTCTGAGTTGAGCTGACTCTAATGCATGGAAGAAGAGCACAAGCCACACTCACAGTGTGTAGATGTCACCAGATTGCTTATCCTCCCGCACCTGGTGGCCCCCCTCCAGGACGGCTGTCCTTTCTCCCTCCTGCGGCTGGTGGCTTCTCTTTAGGGCTGTGGCCGTGGCAGCAGCCAACTCTGCAGCAGCACTACATGCCAGCGTCATTGTGTAAGGGAAGCACCCTGTCAGCTGGGACTGGGACCAAGATCAGATGTGGTTTCTGCAACAGCTGCCCGCGCAAGGCTGGCGGTTAATTAAAAGCCCCACGCGTTTAGTGATTAACTAATCACAGCATGATGGCAGTCCGTGACAATGGGCGACTTCTCTGCTGGAGTCAGAGGAGATGTTGCACGTGTCTGCCTCGGGCCACCCAAGGCGGCAGGAGGCCCAGGAACCCCCACTGCGGCCGTCTCAAACAAGTTGCCAGCATAATCCCAGCTGTCTGTCTGCCAAGTTTACAGGGTGAGGACCCAGGTAGGAGGGGGTATGCCCAGTTCCTCGAGGCATCCAGTGGGCAGGGCTGGAGAGGCAGGAGGTCGTCCTCCAACATTTTTAGTGGCACAGCGGCAGGAAAAGTAGAAAGAGCGGTCCCTGGGGACAGGCAGAAACCTGGGGTGAGCTTGGAGGTGGGAGAAAGGACATGGCTCTCTTCTTTTCCTGGCAGTGTGAGACAAATTAGGTGTGGGGTGAGTCACGCCTCTGCTTCAAGTAACCTATGTGACCGCTGACACAATTTTTAACTTCTCTACCTCAGTTTCGTTGGACCTGTACATTTTAGAGTGCACAGGGCCATTGTGAGGAGACAGCCACACAGTGGCTAGGAGCTCAGGTAGTATGTAGAAAATACTAACGTCCAGGGCAGCGACAAAGCTGGGGACGACTTCCTTTAGGCCACCCAGGTGAGCCATGGCTGTGGCTCTCACTCCCTGTGTTCCTAGATGCAGAAAGCGGGGGACTGACAGTCAGATCCTGGGGCAGGTATTTCCTTAAGCCAGGGTCTACCCCCCCAAAGGCTCCATAGCCTTCCAACATGGCACCACCAGCTGGGGACACGTGTTCGAAACGTGGGGAAGGGTGTTTAGATTCAAACTATAACAGCATGCTATTGTACCGCGCAAGGACACATTTCAGGGTAGTGAGTATATCCACACTCTTGTACAGCCAGCATCACCATCCAACCCCCAGACTTCATCTGTCCTAACTGAACTCTGTCTCCCATCACCCAGTCCATAGTGCTCACCTCTTAAGGCCCCACCACCTTCAACAGCGACACAGGCTGGCCACTACCCCTTTAATAAATGGACCTTCAGGGGACACTCCAGATCCAGACTACAGCAGGTGGAGTCAGACCTGTTTTTTTTTTTGTCTTTTGTGGCTGGCTTATTTCACTTAGCACAGTGTCAAGGTTCACCTTGCTGCAATGTGTTAGAATTTTCTTTCCAGGCCTGAACAAATATGCCCCTATATGCTATACCGCACTTCCTTTCCCCACTCATCCCATGGTGGGCAGTTTCTTCCACTTTCTGCTACTGTGACTAGTGGTGCTATGAGCTTGGGTGTTTAAATGATCTGTTTAGCCCCTGTTTTCATTAATGAAGTCTTCTAAAAATAAGAAATAGTGCAAGTAAGTCCAAGGTCTACAAAACACCACATTTCAAAACAAGATGTGGTCAGTAATGACCCTGTGAGCCTTGTAAGCGCCAGCACGCTCACTTCAGCATCCCCATCCCTTTCAAGCTGTTACCCCAACCTCAGCCTGACCATTGGCTTGGGATTCTCCCAATCCCGCTCGAGGCCCAGGCAGATGAATTATGGAGACAATTATGTATCTTCCTGCCCTTGGAGTTATTTTGCTAAGCGACAAATAAGAAGTGCTTGTCCAGGCGCGGTGTGCCGCAGAGCCCCACAGGGCAGCTCCAAGGTTGTTCCGAGACCAGAGGCTGCTCTTGATCGCCGCCTGTCGACCCATTAACCTGGTGAAGCAGACTAGGAGGCAAGCGTGGCCTCTCACCCAAGCAGCAAAACGCAGTTCAGCTCCCACTGTGAGCAGGAGGGCGGGCGGGGCAGGGGGAACAGAAGGACAGATGAGACCCATCGGTTGTGGCCCGAGGCGAATATTCAGGTCAGAAACTCAGGGTCCTTGGTGTGAGTGGCTGGAGGAAGTCGAAAGAAGCAAGGCAAGATTCAACTCAACTCATATCCTTGGCAGCGCGATTGCGAGTTTGTGCCTACGTGTGTACATGTGCGTGTATGCCTGTGTGTCATGTTTCGTGTGTACACCTGCGTGTGCGTGCACGTGCGCATGAGGGTCTGTTGGTGCACACTGGTGCGTGTGTGTGTGTGTGTGTGTGTGTGTGTGTGTGTGTGTGTGCGTGCGCGCGCGCGCACGCTCGCTGAAGGCGCCGTTCCTGCTTGGCCTGGCCTAGAGGCGGCGACTGTTCCAAGTGCTTACTTGATGCTATTCCGCCATTGACCAGCAGATGGCGAGAGTGCAGCGGGAAAGTCAAGGCTGCAGGCGCTGTGCTCTGGGGAGGAAAAGGGGAGACTCAGATGGGGAGAGAACCCTGGGCTACAGCGGCTACAAAGGTGTTGGGCCGGTGGGCAGGGAGGCAGCTCTTCACAACCGCTCCGGCTCCGAGGCGGCTGTCCAGGGCCAGTGCTCCCGGCTTCCCGCCTTTCCTGGGACATGGTCAAGGCCGGCTTCTACAACCTCTTTAACCTTTCTGACTTCCCAAAGACCCCCTGTCCAAGTGTACACTCTTCTCAAGAGCTGGGGCTTGCATCTAAGAAAGGCGGACACAGATCAGCCATAACCCAGGTGCAGGAGAGCGGGGAGCTGGACGGGGACAGCCCAGCTCTGGTGCTGGACTTCCAGAACTTGTCCAGACTATTGTGACCTTGGGACTCACTGCTCCTCTTGTTGCTATTTCCTCATTCCGAAGAGGGTCTCGCTCCACCCTCCAACACTCGACTGACCCAGTGACCAAAATGTCCAGAGCAGCGCTTAGGGTACACCCCCTCCCCGTAAACCGTGGCTCTACCTTCCTTTCCCAGAGCCTCAGACGGAAGTTTCACTTCCATGTGACAGTGTTGACTATGGGATAGGTGACAGGTGATTAGGTCTTAAGTTCTTTAACTCCCGGGATGCATTCTGGTCCATAGTGGCCTCTTCCACCCTCCTGTTACAGGTGCTGCTGCTTGAGGTCCTTTCTAAATGTCCGTGTCAAGCTTTGGGACTTCAGTCTCCAGCACTGAGAGCTGAAGGAACTTTTGATCTATCCTGCAGCCTGCTCTGTGTAGTAGCGGGAAGCAGAAGCTATGAGATGGGATTAACCACACCACCTTTACTCAGATTCCAAGATTTGAGACCTGCATAAGCCTACACAGCAGGAAGCAAATTCGAGACCCCACCCTGTGGCATAGTGGCAGTGCAGAATTCTCCAGAGACAGGAGACACAGATGGGGGAGGGGCAGGACGCCCTGACATACCCTCACCTGACCAGTGGTGTCCCTTCATAAAGCTGGAGGAAGGGTGAGTCTGACGCACAGCCCTTTCAGGAAACATAGGTTCCAGAGCAGAGGCCTGGAAGCTGGCCCAGGGGACCCAGGACACCCCGCCAAAGAAGCAGAGTCCCAGGTGCACTGAGATGTTGCCTATTCCACCTTGGCTGGCTGACGGGGAGGCTTGCAGAGGCCTGTGCAGAGAGCAGACTCTCTGCCTCTTTCCCAGAACCATGAGAGGGATGCCTAAATCTAATAAGTTAATCTAGACTCCTAGAAACAAGATTAAATTTTCAAATAAAGGCAAGCTCTGACAGCTAAGGCATAAATCTTTTATTTAAAAAAGAGACGAAGCCATTCAAATGCAATCAGCAGTGACAGATGCAGGCAGGAGCTGACTGTGATAGAATGGGCACTCGTGGACTGGCTCCCCCTCGGTGACATGTCACAGAGGGTGACCTGAAGGGCAGTCTGGGAGCGTCAGCGAACAGTGGGGCCTCTGCATCTGTTTCCATCTTGCTTCTTGGGCCAAGGTGCTGAGAGTGACAGTGTCCTCAAGAAGATGCAGGAAGAAGCTGGTGCAGATGGGAAGGAATCACGGTCCCATGCCACCATCTCGGCTGCCACAAGAGGACAGAGAGGGAGGCAGCATCTTCCCGAGGTTTCCAGACCACCAGCAAAGCCCTGTGGGAGAGGTAGGTGGCTGTGAGGTAGAAGGAGAAGCCAAGAGCAACATTTGTCTCAGCCACTGGGTGGGCACTTCCCCTTCCCAGACATTGCCCGTTCCCTACCTGGTCTTGGTTCATCCTCTCAGGCAGGAGAAAGCTCCAAAGGAGCAAGTGAGCTGCTCAAGGCTGCACAGCTTCTGAATGGCCAAGCAGAGACTCAGCCCAAGGCATGCAAGCTCCAGTGCCCCTCTGTCTAGCACTTCTCAGTTCCCAGACACCCTGAGATGGCACCAGCTTTGCAAAAAACACTGACACCTCATTTGTTCTAATTCAGGCAAAGAGAATGCTTTCTGCTAAAATCCTAAATATCACCTCCTCTGGGAACTCTTAAGATTCTTGCCACCCGACCTCTTCAGAGCAGCATGAACCTAGTCGCTTCCATTTGCATATATTCTCCAAGGACACAGTTCCCAGGACAATTCATAAATCCATGTCTTGGGAAATGTTTCATAGGATGCTACAGACAAACGGGGCTTTGCTAAGTAAAGCTGAAGGGTACTGCTGACTCTTGTCTGATTCTTTCTAGAACAGTGTTTCTCAGCTTATGGGTTGCGACCCCCTGGGAGGGGGTCTAATGACCCATTCACAGGAGTCACTTTAGACCTCCAGAAAACAAAGATATTTACATTATGATTTTTTAACAGTAGCAAAATTACAGTTATGAAGTAGCAGGGAAAACAATCTTATGGTTGGGGGTTAGCACACATGAGGAACTGTATTAAATAAAGTATTGTTGCATAAGTGAAACAGAGGAGAGGTGGATCTGGGGGAGAGGGGAGGGAGGGGGACTGGGAGGAGTAGAGAGAGGGGAAACTGCAATAGGGACGTATTGTATGAAAGAGGAATAACAAAAGGGTCTTTTTTTCCAGCATTAGGAAGGTTGAGAACCACTGTTCTAGAGTTACAAAACATATCACAATACTAAAGGCTTGGAGAAATCATGCAGAAAAAAAATCCTAAATAGTTAGCCCAACATCTCCCCAACTCACATGGACATCAAATGCTTTAGTTTCTCTCAGGATATAATGAAAAAAACAGACTGAATTATGGTTTGATGTGGTATATCCCCTTAAGTGTTCATGTGTTAGAAAACTGGTCCCCAGTATGATAATCTTAAGAGGTGATGTGTCCTGTAAGATGTGGAATCTAGGAGGGGGTCCTTGGGTCACTTGTCTCAGAAGGGACTAAGGTGGTTCTGGCAGGGTTGAGTTCTGAAAGGAGCCATTTTAAGAATGTTTAGCCATTCCCAGCCTGACTTCCGGTCTTGCTCTGTGCATGCTCTCCTCACAACATGCTTGTGCCATGATGCCATATGTATATGTGAAAAAGCTAGGGGTCTTTGCCAGAGCTGGCACTTTGCTGATGGGTCTTTGAGTCTCTGGAACTGTGAACCGAATCTCTTTTCTTTACAACATAGCCTGCCTTGGGTATTTCCTTGAAGGAATGAAAACTGACTATTGCACTTTATGTAACAAGGAGTCCATTTGGAGAAATGTTGACAAAGCTATCATCTCAGGTTGGCTCAAAGCTTCCTGCTTGTCCAGAATGCAAACTGGTGCATGGAATTCTATCATGAAGTACTAGAAGCAGTTATCTGGATGCTGGAGAAGGTGCACCTGGTGCTGCTGGCCCTCTTTAGGATTAGCCTCCTTGGGTAATTCCATGAAGGCCTTCACACTCATATATGATGGTCATGCACACAAAATGTTTAATTGATTTCCTGATCCGTGGGTTCTTAAGGTCTGGCAGGCTTTAAGTTATCATCCGCTAAGGTCCTTTAGGTGGTTTGAGGCATGCTCTAGCCTTGCAGGATGGTGAAAAGATATTGGAGGAAAGGCTGTTGATGGAGTCCATGCGAAGGGGCCAAACACATTCCTTGCCTTCTAATGGGAACCTGGAGAGATGTGCTGTCACATGATCAGTGAATGGGTGAAGTGGAGCTGGAGAGCACCATGAGGCTAGGTGAGGAGAGGCCCCTCTGCTTCCACAGCCCTGCACATAGCTCCAAGCCTCACATCACTGCAGCCTGACCATGGCCAGCAGGAGGAATATTGATGTAAAGGTATCAGTCAAGGGTAGCTTGGCACCAATGTTTTCTATCAGGAGACAGCAGTATGTTGGCTCTCTGGGAGCTGGTCATGTCTGCTTTAGCTTGTATGCATTACATGGAACAGGCCTGGACTACCAGAGGGCACCATTTTTTGGTCACATGATTGACTCAGGAATATGGGACCTAACCAAGATTTAGTGCCAAAATGATATACCATGCAACTTTTATGAAGAGGAAATATTTCTCAGGATCATGGATGAAACCATATGCCAGGAGCTGTTTGCAGCCATATTGAGTTGTGGGGGAGCTCATCTGAGATCTTCCATGGGGGACATGCAGGACATGCAACCCAGGTATCTCTGGGAAGCTCTTGACGTCAGTCTGGGTCATGCTGTGATCCAGCCTTACACACATGAATCAGTGCCTTCCTATCTTGCTTAAGATTGGCAAGCCCTTTCTGTCCCTTGCAATGGAAAGAACCCTAATTTCCATGTCAAAAAAATTCCCAGGGAGCTGGCCAGAGATAGTTCAGTGGTCAAGAGCAATAAGGACCTGGGTGTGATTCCCAACACTCACAGGGTGGCTCACAACCATCTGTAACTGCAGTTCCAGGGGACCCAATACCCTTTTCTGACCTCTGTAGCATCAGGCACCAGGCATGCCATAGACATACAGGCAGGTGAGAACCCATACACATAAAATAAAATAATTTTTAAAAATTCTCAGGCCTGGGCCAGATGGCTGAATTAGAACCCTCGGCAATGTGAAGATTGGCCTACATAACTATTATCCATGCATGCATGCATGTATCTATCTATCTGGCTGTCCGTCCATCCATCCATCCATGCATCCATCCATGCATCCATCCATGCATCCATGCATCCATCCATCCATCCACCCACCCATCCATCCATCCATCCATCCATCCATCCATCCACCCACCCATCCATCCATCCATCCATCCATCCATCCATCCATCCATCCATCAATCTATGTATCTATCTATCATCTCCTCTATGTCTGTATCTGTATATGCTGAGGACTGGGTTCTGAACAGTAGCATCTGAGCAGAGGTGATATGTACCTCTCCAGGATCAGCTCAGGAAAATCTCTCTGAGGGCTTGTTCATGAGTTTGCACCTATGGATTGATGTGGCAAACATAGAAGCCAAGTCAGAAGGTGGCCAACAGCAAGGAGAAAGGAAGCACCATCGTTCTTAGAAGTCCTGCTTGAGGCTCTGCACATGAAAAATGAGCATCCATCTGCTAAGCACCAAAGTCCAGGGCTTTGCCTACCACTGTTGTTTCCAAGAGTGAGGTGTGATGGATTTTAGATAACTTTTCCTTCTATCTATTCATCCACATCTTATATGAACTCTGGGCGGCAGTCTGGGGATGGCATTGCATGCCCTCTGGATGAGAGGACAAAAGATATTCTAAATAGCCAGGATGATGCAGGCAGAGCAAGTTATGACAATGTATCTACCCTCAATCCAGTCCCCTTCTCTTCCCAGAGACACAATATTCACTCCCATTCTCTTTGCTTATCTGGCTTGCACAGAAGACCCCAGTCACTGCCTCTGTCCACGGTACTGAACAAACCTGTAGTACTGGCTTTATGTCTAAGCGTTATGTTCTCTTTGTGAACCTTTTAACCACTCCAAACAATAATTTTGTTGTAAAAGGAGAAAAGTACCTTTATCACTGGACTGTTGCGACAATCAAGTAAGGAGGAAGCACTGAAAGGATTGGTATGTTTTGTGAGCCCTCTCCTCCCTTTTCATAGGAACCTCGTCGTCTCCTTCCTCGTCACCTCCCATTTATCACATGAAAAAGCCAACAACCTCATACTCGGGCATGATACTGACTTTATGGGGCAGACTCTCATTCATGGTGGTTCGAGTGAATTAAGAAAAAAAGCAGACTCCAAGAGAGATTGTCCTTATAATTCTAGCTATGACAGGCAACAGGAGGCTACAGAATATTCTCAGAAAGTTTCAGAGCAACTTGTGGCTTGAGAAGTGTGACTCTGTCCCTTTTTTTCTCCTACACAGGGGTGGTGGCTTGGTGGTCCCTGGCTCTGGAGGATGAAGGGACTGGCTTCCTGCCACCCACTGCTGCTCTCTGAAAACATTCTGTTAACTAGACACATTGTACTGATTAAGGAGTAACGAAATCAGATCCTCCAGTTTAATTAATAAAACACATTTAGAAGTGATTGTGCAATAAAAACAGTATTAAGCTTCCCATTAAGCCTGTGCTTTTGTTAGTCTGTGTGGCCCCACTGCTGACTAATGTGTGGGTTCCCTTAGGCTTTTAAACTTTTTTTTTTTTTTTGCCAAAAATTTACAGACTCTGATGTCTTCCTGTGAACCCTAGGATAGGAGTTTGCTTTTTTCTTTCTTTTTTTCTTTCTTCCTTCCTTCCTTCTTTCTCTTTCTTTCCTTCCTTCTCTTTCTTTCTTTCTTCCTTCTTTCTTTCCTTCCTTCCTTTCTTTCTCTCTCTTTCTTTCTTTCTTTCTTTCTTTCTTTCTTTCTTTCTTTCTTTCTTTTTCTTCTCTCTTCCTTCTTTTTTTGGAGGGAGGGTGCTATGTTGTTTAGGCTGGCCTTAAGTTTACTACTCTCCTTTACCCTTCCAACATGTGTGCCACCCAGCTTAGGAGTCATTTCTTAGAATGGATCTTGGGAGCTTACCGGATGTGACTAGGCTCTAGGGATTTGATGTGCTGAAAGGGGTGGAATTAAACCACAGAGATCTTGCCTAGGGTTTGCTCAATCCATACCCAGGAGCTGGAACTCATAACCTGCATTCCCTTCACTACGATGGGGACCTGGAGTAAAAGAGCCAGAGTGTGTGTGTGTGTGTGTGTGTGTGTGTGTGTGTGTGTGTGTGTGTGTGTACATGCAT